TTGTTAATTAGTTTTAATTGGCATTTAATCGGATTAGATTAGCATAAGACCCTAATCACCCCCCTCTAGGGTCTAACACCCTCATCAAAATCCAACCCGGCTGCATCATAAAGACTGTCTACGTATCCTCTTGCCCAAGGAATCAAGCCTTACGTAGTTCACCCAAATGACCGCGAACGACTTCAATCTAATAGAAGAGTTCACAACCCTTCTCTAATATCACCAACTCTGCGACTGATAGCACCTCCAATGGCCTCAAACACCTCCACCTGAGGTGAACCAATGGCCATATCCAAACTACATCTATCAGCTGCATTCGAATCAAAACCCAACTCATCATCTGCACCTAAATCCAAATGATCCCTGAGCTGTGTCACCTTAGCTGGAATCCTAAATAATATAGTATGATCTGGAGTAATCTTCACCCAATATGGAGTAGCATCACTCTCCACCCGCTGCGATACATCTAAGGTCTGTCCAAAACTCTCCACCTGCAGAGAGTCAAATAGCTCCCTCATCGAAGCCTCAACCGAAGTGACACTACCAGACCAAACATCCAATGGAGTTTTACCTCCAATCGCAGCAGTTGACAACTCTTTAATAGGATGACCCAAATATATCGAAGCCTCAGTCCAGAAACTTTTCTACAGACCATTGCTTGATAACAAACACCGATCCTCCTCCAGTAATGCACGGTTCTCCGAATTTGCCACCTTATCTAGTTGCCCCAAGATTTTCTTTCCAACGAAGTGTCTCGAAATACCGTGAGCTCGGCTCCAATACAGAAACAGGTCCATCTTGTACCTCCCATCAAAATCAGAATGAAGTATCTTCACCTTTCTGTCCATCTTACACTTCTTCAAACTGTTAGAGACTACTAGGACTTTATCCATAGGGGATTTAGTTGTAACCCAAATACGCCTAGAACAGCCACCAACAAAGGAAACCAAACTTTTATTACCTCCCAATGATGTCTTCTTGGAAGGCCCCCAAATATCCACGTGAACTCCTTCAGAACGACCCTTAGCACGGTGAATAGAGGTGCCAAACTTCACCTCGGTCTTCTTGCTCACATCAATATGTTCACTGGACTTCAAACTGCAGGTCTTCGCACCCTCTTTCAATCTATGCGAGGAATCAATACTGGAATGGCCAAGCCCCAAATATCGCAGTCTAGTCGAATCAATAGAAATCGCCAGTTCTCCACCTGCCACTATACCTCCAGTCAAGTAATACATGTTATTCCTCTTGACGCCCTTCATCACAATCCGAGAGTCTTCCACAATCTTGAGAACCATGTCCTCAATTCGAACATTTAGACCCTCTCTAACCAAAGCTCCAATCGAGATCAAGTTCTTTCTCAAAGAAGGAACATATCTCATATTATTTAACTCCCTAACAGTCTCGTCAAATATTTTGATGCGAATTCTTCCTATCCCAAGGATCTGGCATGCACGGTTATCAGTCATGTACACCACACCACTATCCAGCTTCTTAAAACTAAAAAACCATTCTCTTCTAGGGCACACATGATAGGTCACACCACTATCCAACATCCACACGGATTCCTCCGAATAACTCCATGTAGGACTGATAGAAAGCGAATAAATAGAAAAGTCAGAAATATTACCATCCGATATGATGTTTGCTTCTGATGATGGTTGCTTCCCTTTTTCCTTCTGCTTATTCTTCATCCATTCGTCGAGCTTTGGGCAATTTTTCTTTCAATGATCAGTCTTCTTACACCAAGCACACTGATCTTTTTTAATTATAGAATGTCCTACTCTAGACTGTGACTTTCAATTCTTTTGGTTTGGACCCTTCCCTCTTGCGGCCAACGCCTCTGCTACCGACTCAGTCGAAGTCTCCTAATCCTTCTTTCGAAGCTGATAATTCACCAGTACAGCAGTGACCTCACTATACGAAAGAGATACCTTCCTATTAATCAGAGTAAGGACGAAGGTCTCATATTCCTCGTTAGGTAAGGAACTCAACAACAGCAATGCCTTGTCCTCATCTTCAATCATGACATTCACATTTGCCAAATCCGTAAGAAGCTTTGTGTATGTGTTCATGTGATCTCTAATTGAGGTTTCCTTCTTTAACTGGAAACGATAAAGTCTCTTTTTTAAATGTAAGCGGTTCTCAACACTCTTTGTCAGATACTTACTTTCGAGAATCTCTCAAATCTTCTTTGCAGAATTCTCATTCATCACATCATATTTTAGATCTTGAGTCAAACAAGACCTAATCACACCACACGCCTTTTGATTCATCTTCTTCCAAACATTCTCTTTAATGTCATCTGGATTGCCATCTAACTCCAAGGTATCCTCCAAATTCTGCCCGTTCAGCGCATCCAAAACCTCGCATCTTCATAATCTAAAATTATTTGTGTCATTAAACTTCTCCACATCTATCTTCATAGAGTGGATATTCAAACTCTGAATGATCTTCACGCCAAAAGCACCATCCTCGACACCCGAAGCACCTTCTTTCCCCGACATCTTTCTCAACGCACCAACGAACGAAAAATAGATCGAAAACTAAAAAGATAGAGTCTTTACCAAAAGATCCCACCTTTATCACAAAATGAAGTCCTAGACGAGCCTCCAAATTGATCTACTCCTCCAACCAAACCCTAGATCTGGAACCTGGGCACAATAAAAATTTTGGTAGAGTTTCTGATGCACAATAAGAGAGAAAGATTAATAAGAATTTTCATCTCACCAAGGAGACAAGAATCTGAAGCGAATATCTCAACAAAGTGAGATATCAGCTCTTCCTCTCATCAGTTCTAGGACTGACTTGTCGAGGGATCCTAAAACTATTATAATGGCCACAAACACAAACAAACTAATTTTACGTGGTTCGGCAAATTACCTACGTCTACGGGGTAATGACGGGGGAGATCTACTATTAGAAGGAGAGAATACAACTAGGGTTTACAATCTCACAATCTAAACCTTCAAACAAACTCTCAGATCCCTCACACAAATATCTCTCAAAAATACAAAAGGACTGTTTGCACGAAGCCAAAGAAAGCCGCTGACTTTTCTTTTGCACCTCTGCCTGCGCCTGTTCTCTGTAGCCGCCGCTTTGCGCTTCTGCCCACCTGCGCGCACGAAAATAAAAACCTAGCACAGGTATTTATAGGCTGCTCCACGTTAATCAATCTCGTGGTGGGCCTGCTGTCTCCGCTCATAAGGAGAAATCTCCTTACGCGTTTATCTCGTCACGTGGTGGGCCACACCTCTTCACCTCTTCACCTCTTCACGCAGCTGCACCTCTTCACGCGGTTTCTTGCTTTGTGGCTGAAGCGTGGTAGCCCCCCAACGTGCTTCACATCTACTTCTCTTCACATCTATAAATTTACCTTTCTCATGGCTTTCGCGAACTCTTTCATTGTATAAATCCTTGACGTGTGAAAATTAGTTATTGTCTATGTAAATTATTTATGTTACGTTCTAGTATTTTGGTGAATGTATTATTTGAATATAATTGTATTTGATATTGAAATATAATTAGATTGGGTTGGATATGAACATGATTTGGCGTTGGATATTATATAGCGTGGAACGCAGATTCTGCAAAAAAAAAACTACTGTAGCGGAGCAACCTAGACGGAATTCCATCTAGGTTGCCAATCTAGACGGATTTCTTACTTCCGTCTAGGTTGATGTCCATCTAGGTTGGTCAACCTAGACAAAATTCCGTCTAGTTTGCCCCAACCTAGACGGAATCAGACTAGACGGAGCAAACTAGACTGAATTCCGTCTAGGTGTACCAACCTAGACGGAAAATGGAGCAACCTAGACGAAAATTTTCGTCTAGGTTGCTCGTTTTTCTACTAGTGAGGATTTCTCTTTTAGGCCCTAATAATTGTTAGAATGTCACACGTGCATCATGACCATATCATGTAAACTATCACAATAATTGATATTTGTTATAAGTCCTAATATTTTAATTTCCTATAGTAGTTTGCACGTGCATAATGCATGCCAAAATCTAGTAGATATCTATTCAGCTCTATCATGATGTCACTAAGTGATCCTGTTCAGCTGAAAGCACATGGCCGGGTAGGATACTATATGATCTGAATTTCATGATTCCTATAATAGTTATTCAATAACCTTACATCCATTGTTTTAAATATCTCGACATGACCCGATATAACCCCCGATGTATCCTTTTACATGACTTGCCACAACCGATATGGTCTCTAAATATTCCTTACCGTTTTTGGCTATTTTGGGCGGTATATCCCCCATATGGCCCAATATATTAGCGGACATGTTGACAGATATATCCTTTTATACGGCTTGTTGCAAAACAATATACCACGTATTTGCAATTTTTGGCCCAGATATCATGATTTTTCCATCATATCAAATGACAATCAGAAGAAAATGTTGCAACATTTGATTTGTACTTTTAATTGTTTTACAAGGTTGATTAGTGACCATAAATATATTATTTACATTTTGTATACGTAAATTTTGTTAAGTATGTTGAGATTACATTTTAGTGCATTATACTATATATGCAAACATCCGTTATGGCATTCAGATATTTACCACATATCTATGTTATTTCCCCGAAATCTGCAATCTGATATGAATTTTAGCCATTCGATATTTTTCAGATATCCGATATTTAAAACCTTGCTTACATCTTAGTTTGATGATAGCTCAAGCATTATGTTTACTCAATTCACTTACTTTAATTGCAACAACCTCTAAATACTTGATGATATATCCAATTTAAGGTTGCCACTAGGGTAGCATATCGTATCATAGATTCATAATCATAATATTCTATTCCTTTTCTGCACTTACAATTTGCAAGTCATAGGGATCTATAAAATGTGCAACTTCAGTTAGTCTGATACCATGAATTCAAGTAGTTAGTCATCTCATGTTTTAATCCAACAATTATATAACTCCTATAGCTTCAGTTTCCAAAAAATAATTTACTTGTAGAGTGGAACGTATTGTTACCTTTCAATCGGGAGGCGACACTTCCATTGGACATATAGGGATAAACTAGAAGCCTCTCGGTAGTAGTCATACAAAACCCATATAATTTGAGTAGATTTCGATGGACTGCTAAGCTTATCATCTCCACTTCAGTCTGAAATTGGGTCTCTCCACCTGCAGCGTTTCCATCCTTGAGCCTTTTCACAGCCACCAAAGTTTCATCGGCAAGATGACCTTTATATACATTTCCAAAGCCACCTTTTCCTAGTATGTTCTTATTGCTGAAGTTATTTGTAGCAGTCTGAAGCTCCCTCAAGCTAAACCTCTTCAAATTTCCAAGGCAAACTTCCTCATTATGTTGGTCTGAGATTTTAAAGCAATAAAAGTTTCCTGTAAATAACTAGACGCGAGCAGAATTACTTTTAGGGGAAATTGCAAATAACCCACCTAATCTATACTTTTAATAGCACTCATCACCCCTAAATATAAAAGGGGGAGAAGGACAATTCAGTTTTTCCTCATCAAAATGCCAATGTAGGAATGAAATGCTAATGAAATAGTTAAGTGGTAACAAGTGCTGATGAAGGCATACATGAGGGGGTTTATCTCCAATTTGCCCTTATAAATATATACTAACCATTGACGTCAAGGAAGATCTGTTGGTTATGCTGCTGTCTCCACCAGAGGAGCAACCCAAGCGCGCATAGAAATAAGCAAACACAGCTAAGAGCAGAACCAAATGCAACAGCGAACTTGTGACCTTTGGGTTTTATTGGAGCTGGAGCCCCTTAAAGAAAAATGTTCACTAACTCAGCAATCATCCTGTGGAGACTTGTATACCTCATCGTATGTATGCAAAAAAAAATTCTAAAAGAAAAAATTGAATGCTAGAAAATTAAGAAGCAATTTGAGCAGTGATGCTAAATGCAACGGAATTTTCGTGTACTGGGTTCATGTAATTTGAAACCTCAATTAAAAACTACTAATTGCCATTTGAAGTTACATCAATTAGGAAATGTGGTGAAGAAGAAATATCTAGAAAGGCCACAGAGCTAATGGCAAAATGAACAATGAAGAACAAAAGCAAATAACAGGCGAAAAAAAAGTCCAAATATAATGCTGGATTTAGGTAAACCAATTGATACATAAAGCGAATGTGACGGATAAAAATTAACTCAATCGATATATTGAAATCGACAGCAAGACTGAAAATGAAAATTTTAATGACTTTTTACTAGCTGTATGACGTTTGCTTAAGCAATTGAGAATAGAGGAGGAAAATGGAAGTTAATCATGAATTTTTTAACCACCAAAAAAGGGACTAGGACTGTGAATCTAACAGTTGTATATATAATCTAATAATAAACAGGTATGAATCAATATATAAAGTAATAATAATATGTTTAGATGCTGAGAAAAATAGTTTTTTGCTGCACATGGGGTGCTATCAAGATTTGTAATATAAAGGACATAAAAAAAGTCTTACTTTGTGAATTATTAACATCGAAGGAAATAGGCATTTGCATTGTGCCAGAGCAATCTAAGCCAGTAGCACAAATCAACGGATTTCCGATAATGCTGCATGAAAATTTATGAACTTATCAGAATATCATAGTTCAACTGCTTCAGAAAATTGAAGTACAGGGTTATTTGTGAATTATTAACATCGAAGGAAATAGGCATTTGCATTGTGCCAGAGCAATCTAAGCCAGTAGCACAAATCAACGGATTTCCGATAATGCTGCATGAAAATTTATGAACTTATCAGAATATCATAGTTCAACTGCTTCAGAAAATTGAAGTACAGGGTTA